GCAGAGATGACTAGTTGTCCTCTAGTACCCATCCTCTTCGTCTTTATTTAAATATAGAGCTCTTAGGGAGCCTGGGTGGCTCAGATGGTTAAGCGTCTGCCTTCGGCTCAGGTCATGATCCCAGGGTCCTGGGATCAAGCCCCGCATCGGGTTCCCTGCTCAGCGGGGAGCCTGCTTCTCCCTCTCCCTCTGCCTCTCCCCCTGCTCATGCTCTCTCTCTGTATCTCTGTGTCTCAAATGAAAAATAAAATCTTTAAAAAAATAATAATAAATAAATATAGAGCTCTCAGATTTTAGCCCAGCAAGAGATTTTTTTTTCCAGCCCCACCCTTATAACTGGGAATGATCATGTGATTAAGATCTGGACAAGGAGATATGAGCATTAGGAATCTGTGCCCCCTTTAGTCATGTCATTGAAAGAAATAAGCAATAAGCCTGTGCTTGCCTTGCTTTTTCTCTTCTGTGCTGGATGGAATATAAATGTGATGACAGGAGCAGCAGCAGCCACTTTGCACCAGTGAGGCACTCAGCCCTGTACCGCTCACTTGTTAGTGAGAAAGAAACTTCCATACTGTTTAAGCCACTCTATTTGGGTTCTCTGATCCATCAACTTAGACTGAACCCTAAGTATTTTATGTACTAATGTGCATAATAAATCTCAAAGTGGAATACATATCATGTAGCGTTTTTCAAGTACATATGATCTTAATACCTATTTTTCAAAACAGATTAGGGATGTGCTCCTTAAAATGTATCTTGGGAAATACGGAAAACACTCTTTAACACACCCACAACCCCAAGCTGTGACATGGCCCACAGCCTGCTTGTCCCCAGTTATTCATCTAACAGAAGTTTATAAAATACAAAATACCCTCAGCCCAACAATGCCCTAAAGGAATGCACTTCTTTTCCCCAAACCACTGACCTTATCCTCACAACAGCCCACAAAGCCACATACCCTGCACTTTGGGAGTCCCAGCTCCAGGAGACCAGAAAAAAAGGGCTGCCAAATGCAGGTAGATCCTCAATTCTGGAAAAAGCTAGTAATAAAAGTGACAGTGACAATGAACAGCCACTGGTATTCTGATGAAAAAAGATTTATCCAAAGCAAATAAAGTTCCCAAGCATGAACAAGAAACAGTTCCACATAATGAAAAAGTTGTACTTAGAAAACAAGTCAAGGGCTTGTTGGATTAAAAAAGAAAATATTCCCACAACTACTATCACACTTAATGGCGAAAGACCGAAAGCTTCTCCTCCAAGATCAAGAAGAATAGGTGTGCCTTCTCACCACTTGTTTTCAACGTTGTACTGGGAGTTCTAGCCAGGGCAGTGAGGCAGCAGAAAGAATGGAAGATACATTTAGACCGAAAAGGAAAAAGTAAAACTACTTCTATTTGGAAAAGGTATGATTTTGTACAAACAAAATTCATACAAAATTCACACACAAAAAACTATTAGAATAAACAGGTACAGCAAGACTGCAGGATACAAAATCAATATGCAAAGTCAAGTATATTCTCTACACTACCAAAAAAAAAAAAAAAAAAAAAACCCTGAAAATAAAATTATGGAATAAAACAATTCCATTTACAATAGTATTAAAAAGAATAAAATACTTAGGAATAAATTTGACAAAAAAGGTGCAAGATTCATGCCCTGAAAACTACAAAGCATGGCTGGAAGAAATTAAGAAGACCTAAATAAATTGAAAGATATTTCACGTTCATGAATTAGAAGGAAGACATAATGTTGTGAAAATGGCAACCCAAACTGATCTAGAAATTCCATGCAATCTCTGTGAAAATCCCAGCTACCGTTTTTGTAGAAATTGACAAGGTGATCCTGAAATTTACAGAAAAATGCCAGGAACCCAGAACAGCCATTATAATCTTGCAGAAGAACAAACTTGGAGGAAACATACTTTCTGATTTCAAAATTTACTGCAAAGCTATAGTAACCTAAACTGTGTGGCCCTGGAATAAGGATAGACATACAGATCACTGGAACAGAACTGAGAGTCCATCGATAAACCCATACTGATTTTCAACAAGGGTGCCAACATAATTCAACGAGGAAAAAATAGTCTCTTCAACAAATAGTGCAATGACAACTGGATATTTATATGTAAAAGAATGGAGTTGGACCCCAGCTCACATCATATGCAAAAATTAGTTCAAAGTACATCAAAGACCTAAAAGTAAGATTCATATAATGTAAGAGTTGTCAAAAATTATGCAACTCCTAAAAAAAAACCCAAAAACAAAAACCATGAGTATCTCTTTGTGACCTTGGATTAGGCAACAATTTCTTAGCTATGACACCAAAAGCATAAGTGACAAAAGAAAAAATAGATAAAGTAGACATCATCAAAATTTAGAACTTTGGAGCTTCAAAGGATACTAACAAAAAGGTGAAAAGACAACTTACAAAATAGGAAAAAATACTTGCAAATCATATGTCTGATAAGGGACTTATATACAGAATACATAGAAAACTCCTACAGCTCAATAATAATGGAGACAGGGCGCCTGGGTGGCTCAGTTGGTTAAGCGACTGCCTTCGGCTCAGGTCATGATCCTGGAGTCCCGGGATCGAGTCCCGCATCGGGCTCCCTGCTCGGCGGGGAGTCTGCTTCTCCCTCTGACCCTCCCCACTCTCATGTGCTCTCTCTCATTCTCTCTCTCTCAAATAAATAAATAAAATCTTTTAAAAAAATAATAATAATAATGGAGACAACGTAATTTAAAAATGAGCAAAAGATTTGAATCGACATTTCTCTAAAGAAGATATACAAATAGCCAATAAGTACATGAGTAGCTGTTCGACATCTTTAGTCATCAGGGATGTGAAAATCAAAACCACAGTAAGTTACCACTTCATAACCAATAGGATGGCTTTATTCAAAAATTCAGACAATAACAAGTGTTGGTGAGGATGTGGAGAAAGGAGAGTCCACGTGTATTGCTCATGGGAATGTAAAATGGCACAGCTGCTATGGAAAAATTTGGCAATTCCTCAAAAAGTTCAACATAGGATTATCAGATGACTTCACAATTCCACTCTAGGTTATATACCCAAGAGAAGTTTTAAAATCCGTCCACACGAAAACTTGTACATGAATATTCATAATGGCATTATTCATTAGCCAAAAAAGTAGAAACAACCCAAATGTCCCTCAACTAATAAATGGATAAAAAAATGTGGCATATCCATACAGTGGATTATTCAGTCATAAAAAGGAATGAAGGACTGATTCATGCACAATATGGATGAACTTTGAAAATAGTATGCTAAGGGCAAGAAGCCAGACATGAAGAGTCACATACAATATGATTCTATGTATTCAAAACATCCAGAATAGACAAACCCAGAGAGACAGAGAATCAAGTACTGGCAAAGATGCACACTCTGTGAATATGCTAAAAACCGCTGAATTGTACACTTAAAAGGATGCATGTTGGGACGCCTGGGTGGCTCAGTTGGTTGAGCGGCTGCCTTCGGCTCGGGTCATGATCCCGGGGTCCTGGGATCGAGTCCCGCATCGGGGTCCTTGCTCAGTGGGGAGCCTGCTTCTCCCTCTGCCTGCCTCTCCCCCTGCTTGTGTTCTGTCTCTCTCTCTGACAAATAAATAAATAAAATCTTTAAAAAAAAAAAGGATGCATGTTAAGGCATGTGAATTTTATCTCAATAAAGAAGTGAAGAAAATATCTGGGCTCAACCCAAAAGCTTTCCCAGAAACTGAGGAAAAGGCAAAGGTTAAAGAAAAGGTCATGTTGTTTCCTGATTGCCTAAAACACAGGTCAAATATGGTAATTAGCCTCTGAAGATATAAATAAAAACTGAGTACTTATGTTTTGGACTTGTATCCTATAGAAACATAAGGATTGGAGTTTATAAATAGCTTGATTCCAATTATCAAAGTAATGTCTGGTTATTTTAGAGCTTTTATTATTATTATTTTTGAGAGAGAGAGGCGAGTGCACATGCACACTTAAGAAGGAGGGAGGATACACAGGGAGAGGGGGAGAGAGAATCTTAAGCAGACTCCCCGCTGAGCATAGAGCCTGACGCGGGGCTCAATCTCACAACCCTGAGATCATAAGCTGAGCCGAAACCAAGAGTCAGTCGCCCAACCAACTGAGCCAACCAGGCGCCCCTACTTTAGAGGTTTTAAAGATAAGAAAAGCACAGATAAGAAAATTATGGACTTTCTTGGTTTTGTGCCCTCTCCATCCTCCCCAAAAGGCAGGTGGCAGGGAGTGGAGGTGGTCTTTGGCTTCCACATGCAAAGCCCACCTCTGTGGAAGACTTTGCATCTGAACCCTCCAGCTCCACGGAAGCCACCTGAACACAAGCATCAAGGCCAACACCATCAAATCTTCCTTCGCACACAGATCTGGTAAGAGCACCATCATTTTCAAGTCCTTCAGCTGCCCCAACGTTCCTTCATATTTCAGTCCTGGATTTTGAGTGCAAAGAGTGTTTCCCTTAATTGAAGGGAAGAGCCCATGGCACCTGAAAAGGTGGTAAGATATGAGGAGAATAGAGATGGAAGAGAAACCCAACTTCCACCAAAACTACAACCCTCAGTCACAGGGATGAAAAGTACAACATAGGGAATATAGTCAATAACGCTGTAATACTTTCTATGGTGACAGATACATTTAATGCAGTGAGCGCCTGGTAATGCATAGATCACTATGTTGTACACCTGGAACTAATATAATATTGTATGTCAACTATACCTCACTAAAAAACTCTACAATCCTCAAATTAAAATTTCCCACGAATCATATGCCAACATTTCGCCTCTGGAGTACTGAAGCATCTTCAAAGTGACCCTTAAATTCACCAGCCTACTGTCTAGAGCAACGTGGCGGCACCCAAGGCCCTTGTTAGATGTCAAGAGGTGTGTTATTCCCACCAGAATATTATTTGACTGGGAATACACTGAAAGAAATAAAGGGGAAAAAAAAGAAGTTAACAAAAATACAGACTCTAGTTCAAATTTTATTTGCATACAAAAATATATTATACTGGGAAAAGCATATTACTGTTTCCAACTATATATAATTAATTACAAATATGTTCACAAAAGCACTTTAAATTACAGGAAAGCTAGGTTTTGAGAGAAAATAGAATATTAGCGTGGATCATCTGTTCTAATAAGCTGTAAGCTGGTAAACCAAGTCAGTGTCACTGTCTAAATTGCCCAGAGATGATCTCAAAGGCTGGTGTTAGGACAAGCCTGAGAATGGCCTGGTGGCAGGTGAGCGCTCATCTCTGTCTGCTCTCATTTTACCAGGTCCTTGGAGCTTTCCGAAGCTTCTCCCTTATGATGAAAGGACCCAGAGCTTCTCCTTGTTTCACATGCCTGTAAAGAAGAGATAAATAAGGTTATCCACTCACAGAAGTTTCCAGCGCCTCTGCTTAACCAGATGACACCATCACAGGCATGAAAGCACCAAACGTAACGGCAGGCTTCCCACGTAATCTATGTCTGATTAACTGGTACAACTGGGCAGCCAGCTGCAATTTCCATGAAGTAGGCAGGCTTGTTCCATGGATGGGTCTCATACAAATTGTGCTGTAATTACCATAATCTCTGTCAAAACAGGCCTTGGTCTTCTGATGTGGGATGGTACCGCATGGAAGAGAATGGGCCATAAAATTCTCCAATAAATAGAAAATACACAAGGACTTTCCACCTGATAGTTAGGTCTCAGTGTTGGGAACAGAGTCATTTTTAAATAACCAGCTTTGGATCTCATTTTTCAGGTTTGACCTGGCTGTTTAGCAGAGTATAGCATAAAATATTTCTTAGGGAAAATCAACTCTTTGGTTGAAAAATTAAGGGGCTAGGACAAAATTCTTCTGCTCTGTGATTGCCAAGAGTAGAGTTGCTGAAACTTTTACCCCGGAAGCTCTAGCTGATCCTTCTGGCTCTTGCAGTCCTTTCCTTTTGAAACACAGGGGGTAGACTGAATCTCAGGGCCCCATCTTCTGGAGGCCCCTCCCCTCCCGACGCTGTAGTTATGGTCTGATATCTTCAGTTCCCCACATTTTCGGTCACACAAAAGGGGTACCATTAGTGCAAATGCCAAATGGTAAACAAGGTAGTGTGTACTTAACCCAGGTCTTTCACTGATTGGCGTGGGCCTTTGGTTACAGGGTCTCCCCAGGCCAATTCTTTCTTTTGGGACCCTCTAGAAGTCAGACCTCCCCAAGCCCCTGGATCTAACCTGGGAGGACTTCCCTGGCCCATGGGATGGAACCGCCTGGCTTGTTAGCATGTTGCTTTTGTGGTCAGTTGGCTCATTTCTCCTCTGAAAAGCCTGCCGGGCCATCGTGGTGGTAAAATTCCCATCTTGCTCTAACAACTGCTCTGCATTTCTCAAACAAAATGTCATTGTTTGCTGGTGGCCCGTTCTCACCCTTTGGAAAGACACACGATCTACATGAACGCAAGATTATCCTCAGAATTTCTTTCCGAGCCACTAGGGTTCTGTTTTGGAACCCAAAGAAGCCTGATGATGTAACTTCCTGCCCCTAAGCAAGGTAGTAAATATTATGGCACTTTACCAGCAGTGTTGGTTGGTTTTCTGTTTGATTTTTTTTTTTTTTTTTTTTAAATACCAGGCATGTACTCACTTGCTAATGTTCTGTCAAGATCAGCAATAAAGTCTTCTAGCTCTTTCGTGTCTCCTAGTTTGGCTGAAAAACAAGAATCGACCTTCAGTTTCCATATCAACGACAGCTCATGCCGCCCTTGGTTCCCAGGATTATGTGACCCCATTTCGCATCCCTGCATCTACAGAGACATTATTTTCAAGTGTCCTATACCAACCCTCAGTGTCTGCTCTGGTGTTTCTTATAGTCAATTCAGACACTGATTCTGAAGATTCACCTAAAAGTCTCCTTCTTGTTTTTTCAGTTCATCAGCCCTCCAGCCACCCCCACCCCAACAACCTGGAAGGAGAATCTCCCTTCACTACCTTAAAAGGGCAGGGGGAGTGAGGGGCTAGGGGAGAAGATAAAAGTTTTGATTTGGGGGCGCCAGGGTGGCTCAGTCGGTTAAGCATCTGCCTTCAGCTCAGGTCATGATCCCAGGGTCCTGGGATCGAGTCCCACATCGGGCTCATTGCTCAGTGGGGAGTGTGCTTCTCCCTCTCCCTCTGCCTCTCCCACCCACTTGTGCTGTCTCTCTCTCTCTCTCTCTCTGGCTCACTCTCCCTAAAATAAATAAATTTTTTTTTAATCTTTAAAAAAAAAGTTTTCTAAAAAATAAAGTTTTGATTTTTTGATTATGTAGGATATGAATTATCTATCAAAAAATATTCGGTAAGCATGGCACTGTGCAGAGCGGACACCCAGAGTCAATTGCCCGCTCTGCCTCACCTCTGACCCGTTCTTGTTTGTGCTATCACCCCAGGGCAACACTGCCGCTCTGAGTCCCTCCAGGATGAAATGTTAACGAAGAGCCACCGTGCTTTGTCAAAATGGTACGGGGAAGGCAACGTGAGGCTTCCGGGTCCGGGACAGCCCCATCCCATCCAGGTGGCCGCACAAGGCAACAGGTCCTTATCTTGCTTTTGTTCCCTCTGTATCCTGAGATATACACGTTTCCCTGTAGAGCTCATCATTCATGCCTTCTCTGAAATGCATTCCTGGATAGTTTTATTAATTAACCCTTGCTGGCTACAAATAGCTCCTTGTTCTTAGCTTTTATTTTTTTTTTTTTTTAAGATTTTATTTATTTATTTGACAGAGAGAGACACAGCGAGAGAGGGAACACAAGCAGGGGGAGTGGGAGAGGGAGAGGCAGGGTTCCCGCGGAGCAGGGAGCCCGATGCAGGGCTCGATCCCAGGACCCTGGGATCATGACCTGAGCCGAAGGCAGACGCTTAACAACTGAGCCACCCAGGCGCCCCTGTTCTTAGCTTTTAGAGTTAATTTGCCACTAGAGCTTTTTCTCTGTCTTTAATTCCTATCTCTGGAGGATCAGGTAGCAAATCTGGGCACGTTTGAAGTCACTTCCTAGACTGCTCTCTCTCTCTGAATTCAATAGCTCCGTTCTACCCACAAGGAGCTGGACAATGGCAGAGATCCCACTGGCTGGTGCTAACACTGCTCAGTTGAGAGGAGAATTTAAAAATCACTCTTTTGAAAAAGAGGGAAATTCCTCCTTAATGCCAGGAGTGAGAAAAGTAATAGAATCTTCCTATGTCTTTCTTAACTGTGTTCCATTTTTATTGCATTCTGCAACTATTTTCAGCAGTATAATGTTTCTTGAGGAAAAAAACTCCTTTTGTTTTCAAAAGGGCACTTGTCCAATACAACAGAACATTCAGCTCTCTAGCTAGAGACACTTGACAAGTTCCAAAAAATAAGAAACTGCTCATGCATCTTTAAAAACTTTTTTTAGGTCTATTAATACCACAGTAGAGCCAGGCTGGGGCTGCTATTTTAAATCATGTTAGATCATTGCTTGTCTCATGAGGATGACCCCATTTAATTGTTAAATTGGTAATCTGAAAGTGTTGGTCAACTAGTTAAGAAAAAAATCCCACTTGGGCGCCTGGGTGGCTTAGTCGTTAAGCGTCTGCCTTCGGCTCAGGTCATGATCCCCGGGTCCTGGGATCGAGCCCCGCATCGGGCTCCCTGCTCAGCGGGAGGCCTGCTTCTCCCTCTCCCACTCCCCCTGCTTGTGTTCCCTCTCTCGCTGTCTCTTTCTCTGTCAAATAAATAAATAAAATCTTTAAAAAAAAAAAAAAAAAAAAAAGGAAAGAATCCCACTTTCTGCAAAGCCTAACTGCTGCTGAGTTTTCAATTCTAGAACCAACCAGTCCGGGAGAGAGCACTGTCATTTGGCAGTCTTGATTACACCATGTGAGAGAAAACAGAGGCTGGAAATATAGGTTTTCTCTCTCCCTGCGAATTTGGATTCTTTTCCCCACCCCCCATTTATCTGATTCATTTTCACACTGATCAGAATCTTGAGAAAGAACAAATTGCACTTCACATTGTCCCGTGTGAGGATGTTAGTTCTATTTGTTTCACACGTTTGGGGAAGATTGGTCAGGGATAAGGGGGAGGAGAGGAAAGGCAGAGAGGGGAAGGCCGTAAGGAAGCCAAAAAGCTCCCACGCCAGCTAATGAGCCTACCTTTCCGAGGAGTGCCAGCCGGCGAGAGCAGAGCCGGAGCGGAATCTGTTGGAGAATTCAGTTTCTCATCACTGAAGCTGAAGCTGTTCCTGTAGAGTGAATCTGCACCTTTCAGGAAAGAAAAAGTAACTCATTCAAGGTGGTTTTCAGGCCACATCTATTGATAACCAACAGCTCCTCTCTAAAAGGAGCAAAGTTGTAAAGAAAACAGGTTGATTTCCAGATTTTATATTTATGCCCCCGAAATGACTTGAGGCAGGGGAATGTGCGTGTGTGTGTGTGTGTGTGTGTGTGTGTGTCATGCACACCAGGGGCCTTGCTTCTCTAACAAATGGAGAGTGAGATAGGATGCTCATGACCAGATCAGCTTCCTTTGCAACACAGAGGAGCCCACTGTCCAGGTGTCTAACTGACAACCAAGCCAATACTTGGCTGACTCGGGGTGTTTGGGATTTTAGACCTAAAGAATCCTCTTTCCTAAAAAATGTCCCTTCTGCCCTCTGAATTCCCTAAAATACAAATACAAGGTTTGTTCCCATTAGTTAATAATCCTCCCTCCTGGGAGTGCCTGGGTGGCTCAGTCGGTTAAGCAACTGACTCTTGATTTCAGCTCAGGTCTTGATCTCAGGGTTGTGAGATCGAGCCCCTGTGCCGGGCTCCATGCTCAGCGGGGAGTCCACTTGAGATTCTCTCTCTCCCTCCACCCCTCCACCCCTCTTTTTTTCTCTCTCTAAAATAAATACATCTTTTGAAGAAATGTTTAAAAAAGAATAATAATAATCCTTCCTGGCTGCTCAAGAGAGTCTTTGTCATGGTTCTCCTGAGAACCTACACTCACTCTAGGGATAAGCTAGAGGGTCAGAGATAAATACTTCTTCTAGAGGTTGTCAATTACAGACACTTTGAGTGATTTTGTGGCTCCCTCTATTGTCATACCCCCAAAGACCAGGGCAAGAGCAAGGCAAGGTCCCAGGAGCAGGGCTGCACTGGGAGTCAAGGGAACCAGCTCAGCTACTTAGGGACTCAGGCGCCCTTGAGCAAGACAGTATCTGTGAGCCTCAGCTTAGCCACCAATAAAATGGGAAGGCTTCATAATCCTTCAAGTCCCTTCCAGCTCTTAAGTTCTGAGAGTCTACTTCTCTAGACCCTGCCAAGAAGGAGGAAACCAACCCACGGCCAGCCCAGCCATGTGGCCGTGACACAAGAAGGGAGCTGGTGGCTGAGCTGCACCCACTCAAAGGGCTCAAAGGCAGAGCAGCCAGCCGAAGCAGGATGTGGCCTGTGAGGTCACAAAGTAACAGCTTTCCTGGTTAAAGCAAAACACAAAACCAGCCATGGTTGTGGCAGAGATGAGCTCTGGAAAGGCTCTTCAGGTGAGAGAGGGCAGCTGAATCAAGAGGGCCTGGCCAGGACTCTACTCTTCTTTGGGATTCACCACTTCAATCCAGGGACGTCCAACTCAGGAGGAGGCAAAAACATCTTTCTTTGGTCTCCATAACTTAAAGTGAACCTGAATTAAGTTGCAGGTATACTCAGAATATAGATATACTCAGAAGAAAAAGGGTTTTCACAACCAGAGGTTTCTCATCCCAAAAGAATTCAGCTTCATCCCTAAAAAGGCTGCTTCAGGTTCTCAGGCACGACACCCAGCTTCCTTTCCTCCCACCCTCCTCTGACCAGGTGGCCCCAGCGCCATCTCGTCTTCCTGACCTACACACTCATCTTGTCCACTCTTCCAAACATGCCCAACCTTCCCGATTTTTTCTCCCTTCAGAGGTCCAGCCCAAGTCACCTAAAAGGACCACAGTCACTTTTCAGGGCTTTGATGATGAACACCTACTAAGATCCAAAATACCAAACCTCATTCTTGTACTTCCCCAAAAATATATTCCTCAGAACACTGGTCCTTTGGAAAGAAGAACCATGTAATCAACTAAGTTTGAGAAACACTGAGCACCCCTCAAGATTCCTCCTGTGTCCTCCCACTTTAAGGTCCCTGAGAAGTCTTATGATAAACCAGCTTGGCCTTATTTCTCAAATTTAACTATGGGACACAATTTTCATGGCAGCAAGTTAATATTTCTCAGGACACTTGCACTCCATGGAACTCAGCTGGGGAAGCCTTTCTGCCTTTGTCAGCTGAGCCTACCTCTAGAGCAGTCTGGATTTTCTCAAGGGAAAGCCTTTCCCTTACATACAAGAAAGTGGTCACATCTGCTGCAGACCTACAGCAGAGCATTACTGTGTGTCACCCCATAATAGGGAGGAGAACTGCCACAAATAGAACCTGAGAAACTTGTAGGGAAAAGATGAGGTAAGACTTAGAGGCAGGGAAACCAGAGAGGGCCCCCGGGGAGGCCGACCTCGTGCCCAGACCCCTGAGCCAGAAGGAAGGGATATGAGGCATTTGGCACATAATCTTGGTTCTGAAGGACACTAGAGAGCATCGCCCGCATCCCTGGCCCAGAGTGCCCAGCCCAGAGACTTGCTGGCCCAGACTTCAGTGGCCACACCTCTGGTCTCTATCTCCCCAAAGCAGTCAGTCCTTGAGATCCAGTTTTGCCATCACACCTCACTCCACCCTGCCCTGCACTACCAGCCCTAGCCTTGACTTTGGACTTCATCTCTCTTCTGCTCCAACTCAACAATTTCCCAGCCACATATACTCATCCTTTGGAGGAGGCGGGGGTGGGGGTGGGGGAGACACGCACACACAATTTGTTTTTCCTCACAGACAAGTAGACTAATGTCATTGAGTTTTCAGGGAAGAAATGTCAACATGGAAAAGGCTATTGCAAAATGAGGACTCAGGAAAAACTCCGGGTCACTCAGGTGGTTTTGAAACTCTGTAGAGAATGAGTCATAGGACCAGGACATTGCCACAGTGGACCTCTTGGCCTTTAAAACCTGGTGTGAAAATGCCTTTTTGATCCAAGTATTTTCCTCAAACTTAGAAAATATATAGACAAACCGGCTGTTACTTGCCTAATAAATTTGGCTGCAAACCAAACTTAAAATAATCAGAAGTTTCTCTTACGGCTAATGAACTCATGCTACTCCCCCAATGAGGGAGGGAGAGAAAAAAATACTAGGTTACAGTATCTATATATAAACACACGCACACAGGCATGTCAACATAGCAAGTGCTCCCTTCCCCATTTCCCCTCTCCCCTTACACCTCCCCAACCACACACACACACACACACACACACGTCACACCGGCACATTGCCACACCTCGATTCCTCTCTCTCTCCATGAGTTTCAGCGCACAATCTGAGCCAGACCTGACTCCAGGCTCCAAGATATTCAACCATCAACAGGAAATGAACCCCCAGCATCCTTGAGCCAAACCTGTCCCCAGTTTAGTTCCACCCTGTGGTGATACTGTACACACGTCATTCATGAAGAAAGCAACTTCCAGAAGCCCAAAGCTACTAGGAAGCCCAGCAGAAGCTGCCACGGTAGAGACGTTCAGGATGGGAGGCCGTGACAGCTGTGTGACCCTGTGAAAATCACTTCATCTCTGAGCCTCAGTTTCCTCTGCAGCAGAAGGGGAATAGTAATGAGGCACTCCATGTATGATTCCTATGGTTTTCATGATTTTATTCTAAAGTTCCTGGCGAAATGGAGGATGACATGTCCAGGAGAGGAGAGGTCGCCACAGAGAATAGTAACCATCAAGATTCTGGGGCCAGGCTTCCTCCACTCCCTCAGAGAGTAGCAAAACTCTTAATTAAGAGAAGCTTATCTTCAGAGGCACCTGAGAGGAAACCTCCCTAAAACAAGCCACCAACACAGGAGGAGCCCAAGCTCTAGACCTCGCTTCCTTTTATCCAATAAGATTTCACTCCACGGACTTTTATTAAGTACCCTCCGTGAAGATCTCATGGAAGGCATTGTGGTAGATGAGAAGGTAAGGAAAGTTTGACTTCCTGTTCTTTTCACTCCTCTGGAACTCTATCCCTTGCAAAACAACGGCCAGTCAGTCTGATAAAATGACAGCAACGTGTTGCTGGCTGATAGCGTTTTAATGTATGACCGCCCCGCCCCAATATCAGGTGCTGTTATTAACAGGGGTTCCAGGGGCACATACGGGGATGATTTGGGGAACCTTGGCAGGTGATAAGACTAGATATTTCAGGGCTCCACAGCATCTACTTCAATCAGCTCTAAAGCCCCATCTCATGAGCATCTCAAAGCCCCATCAGAAATGTCCTTGGCAAGTCAACTTGGCCAGCCGAAGCCAGGAACCTCAAGCTCAGGGACCAAGTTAAAGACACCAGCTCAAGAAATGTCAGCATATTCAATATACAAACATCCAACTTTAGTGCTCACCCACACAGCTTGAGAAACTCAGCTGTAAAAATAGAAGCTTGTTTGAAAGGTAGTTGTGCTTTTTGAGCTTGGGGGTGGGGAGAAAGGTAATTTAGGGTTAGCGCCGACATGTGCTACTCCAGAGGGAAGGAAAGCCACAGACGGTAAGCCTTGCCCAGAGCTCCTGTAAATATAGAACAATCCCACACGTTGAAGACAAGCAAACTATAGTAATTAACTGGGAAAAAGAAAGCCTTGGACCTGTTTCCCTTTTGCCACAGGGAATGGGGGGGGCGTGCGGGGGCGGGGCGTGAATCTCCTTTCAAGACTATCACCCCAGCTTCCCTTCTGGCACTGCTCGGCCGCCCTCGACACCTCTCCAGGTCTCCGTCAGAGTGAGCCCCGCCCCCCACCTGGAACCCCTACCACCATGCCAGGGCACCCTGGGGGCTCTGAACTTGGCATTCTCTCCTGGCTTGAACAAGTTCGGATTCCAGTCTCTGGAGTTCCTATGCCAGATCAGCCAATACGCTACCTGTCATGCTGGCACCCAGGTCCAGCAGGTGCACAAGCTGGAAGACTCTAGGCAAAGACAGACAAATTTTCTGGTCTTGCACATGCTAAAGAAGCCAGTTCCTCTTTCCCTGAAACGGCTCTACAATATCACAACATCCCTCGCATACACAGGAGCCTTCGGATCCTTCCCGTTAAGTAGCAAAACACTCGCACCCCCCATCCGCCCACTTCAAAGGAAAAAGGTGTGCGAAACCCCAACACAGCCAAGAGAGAAGTTCCTACCACCTTTTTTAAAGTTCAAGTTAATATTATAAACTTTGCATAAAATCATTCGGTGGAAACAACACGTTGGTTAAAACTTTGTAATCATGAGTTAAAATTTCATTAAGCGTATTTGAGGAATCATGGTGTGCATTTACAGTTTTGAAAATACTGAAAAACAGTATATATATATTTTTAATTAAGTTCAAACCAAAGAAGTTTACAACCTCTGGAGCACCTCTAAGGATCAAGGTTGAACAACACTGCCCTGGCTCCTAATTACACTGCCCTTTTACTGCCGACGTTAAAACAGCTCCCACCAAAGTGTCTGAGATGACATGTTGGACCCAAGTCTTAGGGGAAGGAACAAGCCTGTTTTGATCAGCCCCCATCTGAATTCCACCCATCATGTGGCGTTATCTTGCAATTTTCATTTTGGTTCTCTTCACATCTCTGGAGGACCCCCTGTAAGTGGGAACAGGGAGTATTTCTTTTTAAATGCACATTCTTCTATCTAAGTAATTTGCTTCTTTGGATGGAAGGGATGTTTATGTTTCTTCTTTGGATGCAAGCAACCCTAATTTTTTTATTTTAGTGGGAAGGGGTAGGGGCAGAGGGAGAGGGAGAGAAAGGATCTTAAGCAGGCTCCATGCTCGGCACAGAGCCCCACACACGGAGCCCAATCTCACGACCCTGAGATCATGACCTGAGCTAAAATCGAGTCCGACGCTTAACAGACTGAGCCACCCAGGCGCCCCCAAGGAAGGGTTCTTCAAAAAACAGAATTGCTGCTTTGAGTAATCTTGTAAGGTGGCTGTACATTTTCTGAGTGAAAGAGCAGTAGGTGGAAGGCAGAGTGAGAATTAAGGTACATAGCTCATATGTAACATTTCCATGCAAGACACCGGCTCAAATGTATCTGATCTATGTAATAGAGCCTGGCGTATGCATTTTAATGTTTTCTTGAAAGCATGAAACAGAGCAAATTTTTTCTTCCTAACCATGAGCTTATGGCTGTTTTGACTAGCACTACTAAATAGCATCCTTTCAATTTCACAGCTAGAGAAACTGAGGCCCAGCTATTGCCCAGGACTCTGACAGAACTCAGTCTGGACCCCACTGACCCGGCCAGATGACCACTGCCTTGAAGAGACACCCTCAGACACAACCACTATTGATTGTGATTCGGGTCCAACAGGACTTCAAGTCTATTCCTGAGGACCTAGTTCCCATTCCTGCTAACCATCCATGGTGACAAGAGCAAGGTCTTAAGAGAGGGCCCCCGTGGTTCTGCTCTCTTATCAGAAAAATGGAGATAATAGTGCCTATCTTATAGGACTGTGGTAGAGGTCCTATGAGATAACACATTTAAAGCACAGCGAAGAGATCACTACTAGTAAGAGCTAATAAATAATAACAATAATCCTAGTAAGGGCTTGGTAAAAGTGAGCTGCTCTTGTTATCATTATCCTGGTAGGTCTCCCTTTTGGTGGCCTAAATCTCAGTAGGATCCACCTCTTTCAAACATTCTCTGCCTCAGAAAAGCACTGAACAGACAAATATGTCTAATAAATGTTTGTGCTCAGTTCTTGGTGGCAGTTAAGCACACTATGCTTCCTCAAGAAATTACTATTTGGATACACGCTGCTTCTGCCAACACTATTTCTAACCAGTCTTATGGGGAACAAACTACACATTTATAAGGAAGACTGCTGTCATCTGAGTTTTCTTTATACCATCCCCATTACTCCTCTAGCCACCAAACTAAGGGTCCACGTAACAATTAACAACAAAAGCAGAAAGCAAAACACACACACACACACACACACACACACGCCACCACCCCCCCAAGAGAAACTATAGAATATTCCAAATATCTCCCCCCAAATCATTAATAATGTGTTTCTGAGTGCCTTCTCGTTGAGGCCCCTGAAAACAGATCTCCAATCTGAAATCCTACCCCGAGGGAACTGCAATCACCCATATGATGGGCCAGCTCAGACCATAGTCTAGCCAACTGCGGCTGTGGTTTAGAAAGGAGTTGTTCTTTGCAATAGCGCGGCACTGGACAGACTGTCCCAGCTTTCTTTCCGGTGGGGGAGAGAACTGGTACTTGATAAATAACTTGCTCCATGCCCCAGCAGAAGGAGACATAGTTAAGCTTGGCCACAGATATTGAGACAAATCTAAAAAGTTTTTATATTTCCCTTTGAAATTGCAAATAAGCGGTCCAGTCATTACCCATAAAGTCCAAAAATACAAAACAGAAAATTAACAGCACACTATTCCATTCCTGTCCACCTCAAAAGCTGCAATTAAATCTAACCCTTGGGCAGGGCTGCCAAGGAAAGTCAAGAGGGACCCCAGGTTTCTGACTCAAACCCTGGACAGGGTGACGAGTGCCTTTATTCATTTTCAGGAGGACAGCTCATGTTGAGGTCTGGGACTGCGTCTTTTCCCAGAAACAAAGAAGAGCTTCAGATTTCAAAAGAAGAGAGTCACAAGAAGAGGTCATTGTGTCATTGCTTTCACTTCCAGAGTCAAGGGCAGCAAAGGGAGTGACATTCATGCTGGTAACCCATCCAGGCAATGAAGTCTCAAGAATAACTCAGAAAAGTTCACTTTGAAAAATAGTAAGTCATCCAGAATTTGAAAACCAACAATCACATAATAAGTCACCAAATTTGCTGTTTGACACCTAAACAGATGTCTATAATCCTTACAGACCATTTGATCCTCAAAAAAAACTGCCTCACTCCTTGCAAGGTTGTTTAAGACAAAGAGACCCAGGGGTAGTCAGTCTCCGTTATGAGAAAAGCGGCCAGGAGGCACCTCTATTTCCATCTGCTCTCTGGCTCCCTCTCCAGCCCGAGCGGGGGTGGGGGGCGGTGTGGAAGCCAGCAGTCCCGGTGGTGGGACCTGCCTGAAGAAACAGGGGCCCTTTCTAAAACACTGGAACTCCACTGCGCCAGAGTCTTTGAAAACTGCACGCCGTGCAGCAGAAAGTCTGGGAGCTCAGAGCCAGAAGAAAATAATGCAAGAAGTTATTTCAAAAATCCCAAGAACAGCAGCTTATGAAACCTTTCCTGGTGTCACAAATTTTTCAGCATTGTGCCCTCCCATGTCTCCCTCCACCCCCCTTCCTGTGGCACTTGCCCCACACACTCTGAAAAAATGACTGCAGAGAGAGAGAAAAGGGCAGGGGACGGCAGGAGAGGTAACTGTGGGAAAGCCTGGCTTAGGTCCCAGGAGTCCCGTCTGGCTGGGTCAAGGCAAGCTGCTGAAACCCCCCTGCCTTCTGGAGACCTGCAGGCGGCAGGTAGACCAGCTGGCCCTCCAAGAGCCTCTGAGCCACAGCCCCGGGGGTCTTGTCCCCGCCGCGGGCGTCCTAGGACGGCTCGGTGCCTTGGGCTCGCTTCGCTGGGCCCCACCCCTCGGTTTACAGATCAGCACACTGAGACCCGAGTCCCCAGTGCTCCTTACTGGGAGTTCCCCGGGCTCCGGCACTTTCCCCGTTGGGGCCACACTTACTCTCCGAGTCGCTGAAGCCGCTGCTGTCGCTCACGCTAGCGCTGCTCCGCCGCTTCATGCGCTCCAGGTGCTCCTCGTAGTGGAAGTGGCGCTCGTGGAAGGGCGACGCGAAGTCGGCCAGCACCGCGTCAAACTCGCACAGCGCATCCGTCAGGTCCCCGGCGGCCGCCGAGTCCAGGGCCGGGGCTGGGGACAGGGATGGCGGGCTCAGGTGCCGGGGCGGCGCGGCCATCGCGCCCCGGGGCCAGGAGGGGGCCGCCACCATCCCCGAGGATAGCTAACATTCACGGCGCGCGTGCCGAGTGACGGCCCCGCTGTCGCGGCCCGTTACTTCTCTTTGCATGCTCTCAACCAGCCCCCGCAGCGGTTCTATTATCCGGCCCATTTCAGAGACACGGAAACCGAGCCTCCGCCGTGTGAGGGTGCCGACCAAAGGTCACCCAGCTAATCGACGCAGCGGAACACTTTCCCACGCGCCCTCGGGGACTCGTCCCCACGCTCGTCCCCCCGGGGGCGCGTGCGAACGCGTGGCGGTGGGAAGACTGGGTCGGGACGCGCCCGGTAAGGACCCCAGCCCGGCGCGGGGAGGACGCCCGAACCCGCCAGGGGCAGGGTCCGGCGGGTAAGGGGACGCCCCGGGACCCCCTTTCTTCTGAAGGGCCAGGGCTTTAAGGGCCCCGCACTCACCTGCCGCCGCGGCGGCCGCGGGGCTGCTCTGCGCGGCGGGCGGCTTCATGGGCGGGCTCGGCCCCGCGCGCACGGCGGAGGGTCCGGCGGGGTGCTGAGCCCGGGGACGGTGCAGCCGCTCGCGCCGAGGCCGCAGCTGCGCGGCGCCCGCTCTGCCGCCCGCGCTCCCGGCCTGCGGGTCTCGCTCGCCGGGCCGCGCTCGCGCCGCGTCGCCTCCCGCACGGAGCGCACGCCGCCCCGTCTCGCGCCGCCGCCACCCTCCAGCCCCGCCGTCTTATAGCCGCGGGCGGAGGCGGGCCGGGGCGGGGCCGGCGGGCGTGCGCCAGCCGAGGCGCCGGGGACGCCCCTGTCCCTCAGGCGCCGCCCCCGCCACGCGCCCGCCGCGGGACCGCAGTGACTGTGCGTTGCCGGAGCCCGGGTTACAGCCCCAAATATTTACTCGCCGCTTCGCCCGCGCGCCCTGACAACCCGACTCGCTGAAGTGTCTCTGTCGCCAGCAGAGCCCCGAAGAGTTTACGATTGGGCCGGAGCTCCCCCGCGCTTCCTGCCGCGTGCCCTTTACTCCTCCAGCCTTAGTTTCCGCATCTGTGACGTGGACGAGCTGAGCCTCTGGGGTTTGCTGCGAAGCCTAAAGTAGCCCTGGGAGGCCCAGACGGGTGTCACACACGCAGAGGGAGGCTCCCGCGTCCCCACCGCATTTCCCCAGGGGACTTACGGATTGTGGCAGACGGAGTGGAGAGGGTAGAGGATGAGAGGGACAGAACTCGTGGAGTCCACGCGGTTACAAGCCTTAACTGTTCCCATCCGAGAGCCCGGAATTTGACTCTGTCCTGGGCTTTCTTGCCAGGGGGTCTTGCGTCACTTTATTCCGGAGGGGTTTTTGTCAGGGAAAGAAATTACGGCGTAGATGCGGTGCATACCCAGCGCCTTTCAGTGTCCGCACCAATGGGCAACCCTGCCCAGCCGTCTCGCGAGGGACCCAGTCATGGTCCGAATGACTCTCCTTGCACTGTCCCAGGAGGCAGCCACTAGCCACAGGTGGCTATGCAAATGTAAGGCAACTAAAATAGAAGATAATGAAAACCTCAAGTCCCTCAGGCTCACCAGACACATATTAAGCCCTCAACGACCACCATCGCAGAAAGTTCTATTGGACAAGGCTGCCAGGGTCTCTGACCCACAAAACTGGCCTGGGAGGGAAGAGAGGCACCTTACCCTGGTTATCAAGAGCCTCCTGGGTCAGGTTCTGGCATGCACCATTTCCAGCCCATACAGCGATCCTGACAGGTGGAATTACTGCCAGTTTCACAGGTGAGGAAACTGAGGCACCAGAGATTAAGTAGGTTGCCAGTCCAGTTCCAGTGATGGAAAGGCAGGTCTGTTTGGTTTCAGAGCCACTTTGGGCTTCACCACACCCTCCCTTCCTCCACCTGTAAGGTGAAGAACTGTAAGGCTCCAAGTAGGAAAGCAGATCACCCAGGTTCTTGAAGGGACAAGGCAAAGCATCTTTCATTTTATCTCTTTTTCTTATTTTCCCCACCTCCTTTTTTTTTTTTTAAGATTTTATTTATTTATTAGAGAGAGAGAGCACAAGCAGGGGGAGTGGCAGGCCGAGGGAGAGAGAGAAGCAGGCTGCACCCTAAGCAGGGCTCGATCCCAGAACCCTGGGATCATGAAGGCAACCGACTGAGCCACCCAGGCACCTTTCCCACCTCCCTTTTAAATTCTTTTTTTTTTCTCTCCTTTCCTTCCTCATGCTCTTTAACTTGCATGGCACCCAATGGTGATGTCCGGGCTAACAGAGCAGCAACCAATCTGGAAACTGAGGCCAGGGAGCTGCTTTCCAAACGCAGTTCTGCCTTCTTATCCAGGGCTGGGATGCAGGGTGGTGGACACCCCAGCCCAGGTCATGCAGGATGGCTCCGAGTCCCTGTCAGCTGAAGAATCAGCCAGGCTGACCTTCGGAAGAGCCTACAAAACAGCCCCACTTTTTAGGAGCCGTGTCAATTTCCTGAGCGAGTGACAATGAAGATAGCCTTGTCTCTACTAGGAGAGGTTGGTTGGTTGTTGTCATCTGTACTCCTTTGTAAGGGAACTCACCCAAGCGTGGGGGACATGGCTGGGCAAAAGGCCCCTCCAGGATGGGTGTCACTTTGGCTGTGGAGGACTACTGCTCTCTCTCTTTCCTAATCACAAATTTTAATATACAGGAAAATATAGAGGATTAGGTAATGGTACTCTGTATCCACACTGAGAATTAACACATGTTAACATTGTCATTTTTGCCTTGGATATTTTTTGATACAAAAATGGCATACAGTGAAGTACACAGATCTTGAGAGTACAGTTTGATAAATTTTTACCTATGTATACACCTGCGTGATTACCAACCAGATCAAGATGCAGTGTTTTGTCAGCACCCCAGAAGGATCCCTATGCCATTTTCTAGTCAATAACACCCCATTAGTAACCCTTATGGTAACCCCTATTCTGAATTCTGTTACCAGGTATTGGTTTTCTCATTTGAAAACCCTTAAACAAAATCACACTGTATGTGTTCTTTTATATCTGGCTTTCTTTGGTTAACATAATGTCTTCGAGATTCATCTATACTGTTGCAGTATTAAGCCATCCTCCTGCTGGTGGACACCTGCATTGTTATTTTGGTGTTGTTGCTGTCACTACTGTAAGTGGCTCTGCAATGAGTATTCTTGGGCCTGTCCCCTGGTGGACATGATAAAGAGTCTCTAGGATATGTATCTAGAAGTAGTATAAGCAAATTGGTTTGATTATCTCTAGTCATTGGCCAATATAAACAAAGCTGCATGAACAGCCTTGTATATCTCTTTTGGGGCACATACTTCTCTTGGGTTTATACCTAGGAGTGGCATTTCAGAATCACGGGATAGGCATATGCTTAGCTTTCAAAGATACTGACAAACGGTTTTCAAACCAACAGTGGTCGAATGAATCTACACTCCCAGCAATGTATGAGCATTCCAGTTGCTCCGTATTTGTGTCAACATATGATATTGTTAGACTTGTTAATTTTAGCCATTCTGGTGACTGTGTCTGGTACCTGACTGCAATTCTTCTTCTCTTTACCCCTCTCCTTCCCCACTCCCTCCTCCTCCCTCTCCTTCTCCTCCTTCTTCTTCCTGTGGCTTTCATTTACATTTTCCTAATAAGTAATTAAATTGACCACCTTTTCCTGTGCTTCTTTTAATAAGAGAAATAGAACAATACAGACAAGGTCAATATCCCCTTGGTTGTCCTTTCCAGCCCTCGCCCCCTCCTTCCCCAGAGACAACCAGTACCAGGAATTTGGTAAGTACCCTCCTAGTCTATGTTTTTGTACTGAAATTATGTTTATATGTTTATGTAAAAAAATGTATAGTAATGCTTTATGTGGTTTTAAAATTTACATAACTACTTTAGTGCTGCAACATGCTTTGTTTTCACTCAACATTGTCTTTACATATGTTGATACACACAGATCGAGTTTATTCACTGAATCTGCCAAATCGAATTCCACTAAGTGACTACAGAAGGGTTTATTTATCCACTCTCCAGTTGATGGACATTTGGCTTGTTTCCAGTCTTTCTCTGTCGCAGACAATGCTTCAGTTAACATGCTCCTACCTATCTCGTATTGCTTACATGAGTCCACTGCTGTGTTCCTCCTGCTGTAGAACCAGACAAAAGGCAAAGGTTAAACCTGTAGTCCATTGAGCCTTTTGACTTGTTCCGTTTCCTACTCCAGGGGCTCCTATGGTCCCGGCCATATGGCCATACTGACAAAGATGATAAGTGACCTCACAGTTCAAGTGTGACCTTGTTCCTTCCTGAGGAGGGGTGGGGAGCCTTGTATTTCACCAGCCCTGAACCTAAATTAACCATACAGCCTCACGCTGGGATTTACACACATTTCTGGTTCCAAAAGGTCATTTGGTCCCACAGGTCTCCTTCCAGAAAAAGACTTGAGGCAGCTTATGATTTTGAAACAGGACAACTTCTTACATTTTTAACACTAGTTCTTTGTCTTAATTGGCATCTCTTCCGCATTCACACCATTGACCACTCTCTCCTTACAACTTGTCCTGAATATCCACCTAACCACCTCACCATTTCTCCTCAGAGTCCTGTGGAATCCTCCTCTGTGAAATTAAACTCTGACCTCCAGGTCTCTCCTTGACCTTCTTTTGAGAAATCAGACTTCATCAAAATTTAAAACTTTTGTTCATCAGAGACACCATTACAAAAAGAAAAAGACAAGCCACAGACTGAAAGACAATATTGCAATACATGTATCTGACAAAGGATTTGTTTTTAGAACATAGAAAAACCATCCACAAACTAATAATAAAAAGGCAAGCAGCCTAGTAAAAGCAAAACATGGGCAAAATACTTGAACACACACCTGACAAAAGATCTATGAATGACTGATTAACACGTGAAAAGTCAAACATGGGATTACCCTGCATTCTAGCAGTTCTCTTACATCTTTACCCAAGAGAAATAGAAAACAACCTAAAAATGCATTTTTATTCATAGTAGCCAAACATTGGTAATAACCCAAACATCCATCAACAGAATAGATGTACAACTGTGATGTGTTCATACAACAGAATACTGCTCAGCAATAGAAAGAACAAACTACTGACACACACAACAACATGGAGGAATCTTAGAAATATTATGCTTACAAGGGTCCTGCAGTTGGCAGAATAACAGCCCCTCAAATATATCCAGGTCCAAATCCCCATAATCACGTGGCCAAATGACCATTATGTGATGAAGGTTGAAGACCTTGAGATGGGGAGATAACTCGGAATCACTCAAGTCCTTAATAGCAGGGAAGCTTTCCTGGCTGTGGTCAGAGGGAGATGTGACAAAGGATGAATGGTTGATGATAGAGCATTGCTGACTTTGAAGATGGAGGAAGGGACAACAAGCCAAGGAACATGGGTGGTCGTTAGAGGCTGAAAAAGGCA